TGCGGACAACAAGGAGGATTTAGTTATAGCAGCTAATAATGGCAAAGTGTATATATATATTCCAAATACCGTTTCGATCCCTAACATCACTGAAGAGACATTTATTGTCGAAATCCGGATATGGTGTACAAATTTTTGCACCTCATGTTTGTGGTATACCATCCTTTCCACAAGTTTATTGTTTTCTGATTGGTATTTAATTAATATTAAGATCCATTTTGTTAGATCTGGTGATCAATTTATTTGGCAATCGCCAATGGCAGTCAGCAGGGTTTAAGAACATCAGTTGTTCGACCTGTTAGTCAAATGCGTTTTGTAAAAATAGACTTTTTCACTTTTTTTTGGTCTTTTGGAAATTGTTGTTTGTGCTGTATTTAGACCCCTCTACCAAGAAATTTGTTTTGCATGCACACGTATAAAAATTGCTCTCTCTCTCAAGGACCGATAATTCTGCATGGGAGATTGTACGTTTTGCGGGAAAATATGAATGCCTACTCAAATCCAATCTATTAGAAAAATCGAATTTTTACAGAAGAGTGTCCACTATGCACTTGCACTGCACTATTATTAATATAGTAGAATAGAATGATATACAAATGGATGAAAATTATATATACATGTAACTGTAATATACAAATAATAAATATAATATATAACATCAAACCAGAGTATACTGATTTGTATCACTACAATATAACAGTTATTACGGTGAGGTTGAATTCCCTGTCATTTATTTATCATCCACGCACGAACTTGTCTCTTTTTTTTTTTTATATCCGTACATTTACCTCACTTTCAGGTATAGAGTTGTGATTTATTTTCTGAGACAAGTGCTTGTGACCATCCACAAGAACTTGCGGTCATCCGATGTTCAGTACTTCAGTACTTTGATTATCTAACGCAATCATAGGTTTGAACGTTGTTTTCAATTTAGACTTGTATATATATATATATATATATATTAAAATGTAGTCCTCTCCTATTACTTCCTTATTCCTTCTGGGGTTTTAATTCGAGATCTAAATTAAATTGAAGTGCTTGAAACTGTTCATAAATACATTGGAAAGAAATAAATGTAATTCGTATTTTGATGTTATATATAGTAAAAATACTTTTATTTATAACCCCTCCTTTTCAATCAATTTAATGCAGGAAAGGGTTTTATTGTTCATGAAGAAAGTTCTCGATTTGCACCTTGTACACAGGTTGAAATTTAGGTTGTTAATCAAATTCTTGATTGTCCAAGGAACAATATGTGGCTTGCACATCAACACTTGGTAAACATCTACTTCAGATGAACGATTTTCTCCTAATTATGATAATAGAATTATTGTACTTGTGGTCCTTGTATTGCGGCATGATGATCTATCTAGCGTTAGAAGCATTTTTTAATTTTTTTCCTTTTGATTGTAGCTGACAATGATGTTAGGAAGAATGAGAGCAACACCAGAAGTCGATTTTTATATCCAAAGATGGACGAGGATATCAGAAATCTTTTGCAAAACCTAAAAGCAACAAAAAAAAAAACTTACATCTAGCATTGTCAACCAAATTTGCTAATGAAGACAACCCAAAACATGAGAAAAACGGCTGTGAAATAAGTATTGACGCTGGCAGTGTTAAAATCAATTTTCAAGTTTTTTTTCAAGAAACAGAAACCGTCTTGTCGAGTGAAGAAATTATTGTATTGGAAGGTACCCTCAATAAATTGTTTTTGTGTAATTGTCATTTGTTCTTTCGTTGTAAATTTTTCCCCACATGAAGAAACAAATTGTGTGAATTGATTGATTTTGTTTCAGTCCTTGAACTATCGTTTACCTGTAAGAATCAATAATGCTACTTTCAGCTGTCCAATATTTTTAAGAAAGAGGAGGGTTATTCTTTAAAATATTGAAGGTAACATAATGGTTTCTCACAGGTGAGTGATAGTCCAATCACTGAAATGAAATAAAGAACGGGTACAACAATAGAATGACGTCACAACAATGTTTTAAATAATGTTAATAATTTTGAATATCAAATAGGTGTAGACAAAAGAGGGACGAAAGATACCAGAGGGACAGTCAAACTCATAGATCGAAAACAAACTGACTATAATGGTTTACTTTTATAAATTGTTACTTGGATGGAGAGTTGTCTCATTGGCACTCATACCACATCTTCCTATATCTATTAACAACGCCATGGCCAAAAACAAAAAGACAAACAGACAAATAATAGTACAGTTGACACAACATAGAAATCTAAAGACTAAGCAACACGAACCCCACCAAAAACTGGGGGTGATCTCAGGTGCTCCGTCGTGTTGCTTATGTTATTACAAATCCGGTAAAAAGTCTAATTCGGTAGGTCACATTCGTGAAAAGGGAAGGGTATTGTAGTTACGACATAAGGAACATATCCGATATCATCTGTGAAACGGTTATTCCATAACGGTAAACCAACTCGTGATGGCGTCCGTAAAATTTACGAAGGGATGATTTCAACCTCATCATTTGGAACTCTTGGTTTAATAGCTTCCTGGTGAGCAGCAATCCTCTATCAAGGAAATCATGATAGGAAATACAAGCCCGGGAATATCGTATCAATTGGGAGATATATACTCCGTATGCAGGCGCTGCTGGAATGTTGCTACATAGAAATGAAAAGTTCACAATTGGGAAGCTGAAACCATCTCTTTCGTCGTAAAGTTTTGTTTTCAACCGACCCTCATTGTCAATTTCTAGATGTAAGTCAAGATATGAGGTAGACTTAACTGTATCTGTAGTATCCTTTATCTCTAGTTCGATGGGATAGATTCGTTCAAGATACATCTACCAATCCTCCTCATTAACGAAATCAATCGACTATTACCGATGATTTAAATACAATTAGTGCAACGGGTGTCAACCGTACAGCAGAACTGCAATCTTTTTTTAGGGGGAAGGGGAAGGGGGGGGGGGGGGGGGTCTTTTCATCATTTTCTATCATTGGGTCGGTACCACTGTACTATTATGTACTATAAGTCTTCGAGTGTATCATCAACCCAGTAGACTGACACAATTTATAACATACCTTTGTTAGTTTCTCCGTTGATAAGTTTAGAAATTATTATTAAAAAACTAAGTTCCAACTCCCACAGGCAAAGTGAAATTGGGTAGATTATGTCATTATTTTCATTATTTTAGGTCCGTTTTTGAAAAAATAGCTCTTCGTGTTTTGGTATTTATACATTTTGACTTTCAATATCCTAACTTTCAGCGTTCCTGATGAAGATTAATCTAGAGAAGCGCTTTGGACGCATAACACTTATAAAGTGTTATAATTTCCGTTTTGAATCATGATGTTGTCTTTCTTCGACTTGTGATTTTGATTGTCTCTCCGTTATCTTCAGACTAACTGCGTGACCGTGCAGTCGCTGTTTTCTTTGCTAATCTTTCTCTCTATTACCATTTTTATTCATAAATTTAATTCTCTTTATTTTTTTCAAAAGTGTTATCAACATTTGAATTTATTTACTAGTCAAAATTAGTCATGCCTTGGAGTGATAACCAAATTAATGTGCATGTATTAAAATAAATGTTTGATATAAAATATATTCAAAAATAGTGGACTACGTAACAAAGCTCAAATAAAATAGAACATGGCGGACTTTCAAGTATTTATAATATATATTACACTTTAATATTAAACATAAACACATTAGAAATCTAGCTGTAATTCCTTCTGAAGCATTCATTGACATTATTTGAACATATTGAGGTAAAACATGTAGTTGCAAGAGAGTAAGTCTCAGCATAAAATTTTCGATAATAGAAGTAAAATTAGTTACTGCCTTTGCTTTTGATGTATCTATGACAATATAAATATATACATTTAATATATATTTAAATTATTACAAACGAAATAGGCAATAGATTTTTTATACATTCATTTTGATCTTTGATTGATATAATTGCTAAATGACTCTAATACGTGTTTTCTTATATCTGTTTGGGCCTGATGTTTTTACTATATCGAAAGCAGGTTAATTAAAATCTACACTGACTTTTGATCATATATCGGAAAAAAATTATTGTCGTTGAAAGTGATGTTCTTTGTTAATTAGTTTATTAGTTTGGACATATTTATTGATAGCTGTAAAACTATTATTGAGATTTTGAAACTAGTAAAAATTGCCCTCTATGATCGACTTTGCTAAAGGAATTAATTGTAACTCAAAATTTAAAGAAAGACAAAAAATATGTGATGATCATTAGGTTTTATATTGTTACATATTCTAGGCGAGATTCGATTTTAGGCCTGGTAACATCTAAGTAGTTCTAATTTGTAATTATATGCTTATCAATTAAGTGAAATTTAAATAACCACATTTATGAAAAAAAGCAGTTCCAGTATACAGTAAATTATTTATTTAAACTTTAATGTCGGTTAAATGCCTTTCAAACAACATTTTGTAGTTCTCTTATAAAGCAAGTGATAAGCTGTCTAACATTTTAACTGAAAACCTCACTTCCCACATGTAGCAAGAGAAGCTAGCTTCTTATGTAACATTGTCTTCTAAATTAAAAAAAATTAAAAGCTGTAAAATACTAACAAACAAAAAAAGAATTATTTACATGAGAATATGAATAATGCGTAAACAAACAAAACAATGTGCTGGGATATCATCAAACGTTTCATATACTTGTATCCGTTACTTGTTTTTCAGTTACCGGTCAAATAAAAATACAAATTCGATTACATGAAAACACAATTTTTAAGGATAATCAAAGAAACATCAATATAAAATTTTCACTATTTAACAAGCAACCGTATAAAAATAAACATCAAACAACAAAATCTGACAAATAAATTAAAATGAGTCTAATCACATATACATTTTAATACTGCAGTGTGAATCCATATGAGTAAGAGAATACAGGACATACATAAACAAGGTCCTTTTATATTTTAGTGGTATGCAAAGTATTTTCATAGTAAAATCATTGTTAGTGTAAATCTCACTCACTGAAGATTGTATAGATTTGTTTCTTCACCGTCAACCGTTACATAGAAGCATTCTAGTTTTTCAAAAATTTGCGTGAAATAGATTAAAATTGATATAGTAAATCGAGGATACATTGCTTTATATTCATATTTATTTAATTATTGCATTTTTTTTTACAGAAAACACAAAGAGGTTTAATTCAAAGTAAAGATATAATTTAAGCACAACTATCTCTGAAAATACAGAAATGAGAAAACAAAATCAAAATAGAGTTTGTATGTTTAGTTATTATTCCAGTGAAGTAGATTATCTACAGTAAAAATTAGAATTTGGAAGTTCTTCTTCGAGTAATGCTGATGTTTGAAAGCCCTGAAAAATCTCAATGTATGAACCTCGTCAAGAGTTAACTCTCTCACCTTGCCTTTTGGGAGTTTTCGAAATTTTATATTTTCATCTGACATATAATGTAATGTAAAGTACTGCTGCGAAAAAATATGCCGCCATTTTGCAGCGGGTAATTTTAAAGTTGATGAGGGATTTCAGTACATATTTTCTAAAGAAAATAATTTTGCTTTAGCTAGCTTATAATGTAAAAAATCAACATTTGTATTTTGTGATATTATAATTTTTCTCGAAGTGAGAAAGACAAGAAGTCCACAATGGCTGCATGTTTTCCAGAGATCCTATGTTAGAAACACGAATAAACCTATGTATCACTTGCATTTTAAAAAAATCAAAAAAGATCTCGTGAGCAATACAGTAACCTGATCATAAACAGTTGTTTTAGTGGAAAATTTCTTATTGAAATTTCAAAAGTTAACTTGACATGTTGTAAAGTAAAATTTCATTAAGTTTCAGATAAAGTTTTTTTGGGGAGGAAAGGTGCATAACCTACCTCTTTAAGACACGGAAAATAAAAACATCTGTGAAATCTTTTGCACATGAAGAAAACAACTATTAACCTTACCAAATGCAAATTCCAGGCCTACATTGTGTGAACTAGTGAACAATTGTAATTAAGTGTTTCATATAATGCCGACATGTTGCTATGTTGAATAATCGATTGACAATAAAGTGTTGAATAAAAAAGAGAAATATTAACTTTTGACGAGATGCCTTTATAATGCATTGGGGTACAAATCATATAAATCTATTGATAATCTCAATTTGTGTTTGATGTGTCGATTGAACTATACAATGGAGGCAGACGATTAGCACGTCCCTTTTCCGGAAGTTCTAAATCAAACAAATTTGTTTCTGCCTGTGGCATAACTGTATGCAGCGGTGGTGTAGGTGGTGGAACAGGGAAAGCCATCATCTTTTGGCCATTTTTGAATTTGGTATTCCTTGAGTCCGGCTGTATTGGTTTTCCGTCATCAACCAAGAATGGTCGAGGATAAGTAGCTGCTTTATTTTTCTTCATGACCACAACCACTATGAGGACAGCTACAATAATCACTAACAGACCTGTGATCACGCAAGCTATGATGATATAACGGGTGTTATCTAAAAATAAACAAAAACTATGCATGATATGCCTTATTAACATATTTCAAGTTTTTGATAAAAAAAAAAGGCCGTCATCGTTTTCATTGTTTATTTGTCATTGTCATTATATAAACCAAAAAGGGTATAAGATAATAAAACAAATTATGGAGGGAAAACAAAGCAGTTGGAAAGGAATATGAAATTTAAAAATCGTCTACGTTAACCGTACCTGATGAAAAATATTCTCATTCTAGAAACATGCATCGTGCTAAATGATATAAGAATGGCCCATTTATATTACCTCAAATTGGAAGGAAATTTTATCCAGTGGACTTACTAAAATTCTATTTCTTTGGCTCTCCTGGCATCTCTAGCATACATTAAAAGGGATTGACCAGACAACTTGGCATATCACATTATCACATAAATAATTAAACATGATAATAACAATTGATGATAAAAATTAAAACAAGCTGTAATGAAAAGTATAACGAATTTCAAGATAGTTTTCACTTTTTTAACACTTACCATAAAAATGAGGAGATGTGGTATGATTGCCAATGAGACAATTATCCACTAGGGTTAAAGTAAAGTGGTAATAACCAATTATAAGCCAGTGTTCGACCTTCAACAATAAGAATAGTCAATACTGTAAAGTCGGATATAAAAGCCACCGACTTGAAAAATCTGAAACAATTAAATGTCTATCTGTTACTCATATTTAAATCATTGTCTTTAAGGTAAAGGTAATTAGTGCAGTCACAAATGAGGAGATATGCACTGGATTGTGAATAAGATAACGGAACAAACGAAACTGATGTGTAGGTTGATGTATAAATTATGATGTTGTAAACTAAGTCTTGAAGGCGACCATATATGTTTATGTGCTTCACTCAAAGATAGAAAATAACATATATGTTAAACTTCAAAACTGGAAATGTAGTGTAAAAATCAAAATTTATTGGCAAAAACGAGAGACGGACAGACGAAATAACTAAAAATCGAAACCCTAACTTGGTACCTGCACTTTTAATGGGAACAAGGTAAGTTTACGAATGAATTAAATTAAATGATAAACATGTGTTGGACAATTTAAAGAATATTCATTTAAAATCTGTGGTAAAAGATTATTCTGATTATATTTAGAAATATATTGCAATTATAAATTTATTGATGGAAAAACAACTTTTCCATATTAAACCATTGATCCCTAATTTTGTAAAAAGTAAACTAACTTATCAAAAATGATTATTCAAAAACAATAAATAGCATGTTAAGTTACATACATAACTATTATGATAATGCGCTACTAGACATATTCAATAACTATCTACATCCAAGGATAGCAACGACACTGACAGGTAAGATGTGGTCGTTTCAAAACTAGTTATGATCGTATATGAATAACTAAAACCAATTTTTCCTATCTGTTATACTTACCGCAATGTTTTCTTGCCATGGTTGTAAAGCAATTGTTAATTAAATCACTTTTACTTTTGAATTTAGTCAGAAGAAACGAAGGGCCACAATATTTCTTTTCATATTTAAGGTGATAACTTCTACTTTCCTGTGTAACATTTGAATAATGAAAATAAGGCATATAAGGAATAAAGTTTTAATCAAATATTGTTTAGATCTTCCGTCTCAAATGTTTCAGCTTACGGTTGATATAAGGTGTTATAAAATAAATGGTGTTAAAATGGTGTAACCACAGGGTGGGGATTTGAGTATTGATTTAACTATAAAATGGTCTTCTTTGAAATGATATAGCGGACTACCAATTTGGCGCATCAAGGTGAATTGTTGTGCATCGTTAATTCTGCTGACTCAAAAACCCACACTGTACGGGGCAATACACCTGTTGTTGTCTATTACCACATGTCTATAACCACAGGTACAATGTATGTGATTGTGATGTTGATGCCGATGCTCGGAATAATATAGTTTCTATGGCTCGATTTACGGACTCACAAAAGGTCCAGTTATGAAATACCATCTGCAAATTAGAGGATTTATAACATTTAGAAACAGAAATGAGGCATTCCAAAAATGAAATAATCGCTATTGACAATCGATAGAGTCCTTAATGTAGAAAAACAGATTTTGATTAGAGAAAAATCCCTCAATCTCATGTGTCGGAGAAAAAATTCAAAGAATGCCAAAAAAAAAACCAAAAACGAAAAGTAACATAAAACAACAACAAAAGCAACATAAATATTACCCTTTCCATCATTTGAAACTGCGGAGGGACTAGTTGTGGTGTTTGATGAAGCGCTGTTATGTTGTGCAATAGTAATTGTGGTGCTTGTGAAAGCGCTTGCGCTGCTGTGCGAGTTCTGGTCTGTAGTAGAAATCATACGAATAAAAAATATAGCTCGTTTTATTTTGAAGTGCAAGCTATGCTTTCTAGGTTGAATTTACTAGTAATATTCCTGTATATTTATGGATAACGCTTAAATTTCGTTTGCTTTCGCCTGCGTAAAGTGTTTATTTGAGATTACTTAATAGCTGGTCAGTTGACATGTAGATCTTTACTAACAAAAGGATATTATCGTAATAATACTTTACTGAACTGAACAGCCACAACATTTATACTGATCATATTTCATTATGAAAAAAGTCTTTCTATTCGCTTTATAATTACAAAGGGGTGGTTATTTCTTTATTTTGATTGACATCCAATTGTGTTTCTTTAACTGAAATGTTCATGCATAATTGAATGTTTATATTTTTCATAAAAGTAAATAATACATCACAATAATTAAACTCTTCAATAGATCAGAGTGAATAATATCTTCTTTCTTTCTTTCATTTTTTAAGCCTCCTATACAAAAATTATTTTAACAATTAGACAAGATAATAGTATTGAAGAAATTTTTTGGTAACAATTCTATAATATCAGTTTCTTTGTTTGTAATTATAAAGGAACCGTTTATTGAAGCAGTGCTACTATACGCATTTGAATTGTGTGTATCGGTACTGAATGATCGTCCCGTTATAGAACCACTGTAACGACTTGTGGATATACCTGATGTTTGGGAAAAATTGCCAGTAGTTGCTTGAAAGTTTTGATCTAAAGTAGTGCTAACAGTATTACCTTCAAGATCATGTAATGAGGACCTAATCGTAGATATCTCACTTGCGTCTACAAGCATATAAGTGTAAGAAGTGTGCATATAAAGCTCGAATCGAGAAGTCAAGATAAAAATTTAATTTCTATAATGACATATTTTAAAGCGTCAGTATGATTAATTTGTAAAATCAGACTGCATCTTATCTTAAAGTGAATGGAAAGAGTGTATCCATCCTGTCTTATTATCATTTTACTTATTTATTTAGCGTTATTTGGCTAGTTTTATATTTAAATATTTGGAGATTTCAAAGAGTTATTAAAGATAATCCAATAATAGATAATAGAATACAAGCTTACAACAAAGCATAGAATTGCACTACAAAACAAAAGGACCAAGACATTAACCAAATCACATACAACATTGTATTTGCACATACCAGATACACCAGTTGTATGAGATGTAGCGTTGTTGCTTGCGGCATTTGTAGTTGCATCTGCGCTGCTAACGTGTGCTATTGTAGTGTGAGTGCTGTCTGTGTTAGTATCTAATAGTTAAATTTATAAATACTTAATCACAAATATTTTCACCAAAACTAATCCAAACTAATCTATTATATTGGACCGTGCAAGGGCTGTATAGCCAGTCAAGGTCGTTAAAAACTTCCATTTGTTTATATTGTAAATCTTAACATGATGATATCCAATAAAATGTCCTCATAATTAAACACATTAGCACATATTATTATAGTAATTGAAACAGCCATGTACTAATGCTCATGTTACATAAGTGCATGTATATCAGTTATATTCACTTTTATATCATCTATATATTTTATGATCCAGAGACGTTAAAGATTAGTGGCATTTCTCTTGAGATAATCATACAAGCAATTATTTTAGTAAATTGAATTGATGCATAAAATATTGTATCATTCTTATGAATCTTATTTCTTGGTTATGTCATGAATCCGTTAAAATTGTGTTAAGAATGTGCCTGTAACGTTTATAATTTTCGAATTTACTATACAACGTTGTATCTCTTTGACCAACACTTATAAACATTTACCATGTTACATTGTATACATGTATATGTATATCAATTCTTCAGTCAGCACAATTAAAGAGGTATTGAAATCCCACCTAAAATTAATTTGATTTATAGATTGATGATCAATTATAATTAATTTGTATATGAAATACAAAACATATTAGCTTTACTTCATAATTAATGTATTTCAGTACATATCTAAAGGGCGGGTAGTTGCATATTTTTAGAGAGAAAAAAAAATAACGCAAATTAATACTAATATATACATAATTATAAATTATTAAAAATGATAAATAAATTTCATACAATAACTAAACTGAATTTCAACAAAACCATCGTAAAGGCTATTATCGTGCAGCAACTTAAGCTATATATACTGTGTCCTATCCATTTCATTACATATATTGAATCAGCCTTAGTAAGAAAAGAAGTCTATTTTTTCTGAAACCGAAGTTCAAATTCAAATGGTTTCCACATTTAAATTATTGGTCAGGTGCAAAAAGTATTGATAATAATGATAGAATTTTAAGCTCCCCTAAAGGGCATCACGAATTATTTTAAATGAGCGTAATTATATGAAATCGTCACACATACTTTTTGGAGAGCTGCGATGGATGCCCTTTTCAGATTATTTTGTATATAGCAATTTTAGTACGTAAAGTATATCTCGATGTATTTAGATGTGTGCATCAGGTTAGTTCTAGAACAAACAGACAAATACTTGTAATATGCTACTCGTTCCAAAAACTAAAATTGTTTACTATAAACGCTCCTTGTTGATATCTGGAAGTGTTTTATGGAACAATTTGTCTACAAATTTAACACATTTGCATCTTTAAAAATAAACATATATTGGAGAATATTCTGTTTAATTCTAATACCAGTATAATAGTTTAA